TGGTACGTGTATTTATTCAAAATATCAAATCCGCCATATAATTTATACGATAATGAATAATTAAATAATAGAAAACATGATTTTTTTATACCATCAAATGGTACATAAACGCCTTGTATGTGAATAAGGTTTAACAGAAAACACTAATCATTTATTTCATATGAATTCTTCAATTTAGAAAATAGATTTGAATGATTAGTTCAAGTATTTCATATGTTCAAAAAATATCGATGTATATTAAATTCCAAATGAAATTATGTAGTAAAGATAGGAAAGATTAGACAATGATGAATCGAAACAGTCAATAGTACTGATTAGAAAATTTCATTGAGAATACCAAAATACGGTTCAGCTAGCTTCGAGTTTGGATCCGATAAGCTCTAGTGAACACTCATTTAGTATATTAAGCTTACATAACTATCGACAACGACAAATTAGACGAAATTTTCATAGAATGTCCCTTCAATCATAATAACTATACAGCGTTAGCGTGAATCAGTGTTAGTGTTTCAGATCTGAACTAAGAGTTTTCTAGGTAAAATTCGCTTCTCTCAATAGAAAAACACTTTTATTCCAGAGAAACTTCATACACAGTGTCCCAAAAGTTTCTTCCTAAGATTTCTTTCGTTGCATTTACTATTAGCCACACCACCTTGATTAATATTTTTTTTGGATAATAAATAAATATACAGACATTTATTTCTACAAGCAAACTTCAAGAGCATTGTTGAAAGGTTAGATCTTTAATAAAAGTACAAAAATTTAGTCTGTTTTCTTTTTTTCAGAAAAACACTACGTAGCTTTTCTTTTTTTCATTATTTCTATGTGTTAAGTGATTTTCGAGTCATTAAATATTCCCATACTTCAACAATCTCTTCACAGAATTTCATTATGGTAGATATTTTTTTTACAAAACTGAAATGAATAATATTAAATCAAAATTCAATCAATTCAAACATACATCATTCATAAGTTTTTCTGAACGGAGAAAACAATCTCAATTTTTACACTTCTATTAAAGTTTGCCAGTAGAAATAAAAACGCTGTATATTTCAAAAACAAAATTATTCTATGAAGTCTAATCAATAGTGAAATGAAACGAAAAAAAATTTTAAGAAAGGATTTTTGGAATATTTTGTATTTAGAATCAACATCGAACGATATATAGTTTACTAGTCCTCTTACAAAAATAATTTTCTCATGCATATAAAGAGTAAAAGTCACTCACAGTGTTCTTTCTCATTTATAAAAAAAAATACAGATATCCGCCTGGTCTGTGAAAAAAGCCTACTATGTGTCGTTTGAGTCACCACTGGGACTCGATGATATCAAACCCTGTTATTGAGCATTTACAACGGAATAGATGAAAAAATCGTAGTCTCCATTTATATTGGTCAAAAAAAAGCATCTTCAGGTGATAAACTCATGGATTTGTTGTGTAACATTATTATTATTGATCAAATTGAAGTTTTTTTTTTTTCGTTAAAATCTTATGCAAAATGTCTAATCAATCATAAACTACAACAAGTACAAAAAAAGAGAAATATAAAAATTCTACCAACTAAATTAACCTTAACATTGATCACCATTATCTAAAGAAGCTTACTGTATTTAATTGAAGAAAATATTGATGATATATCATACTCAATAAAATATTCATGTCATACCTTCATTTTGTAAAAAACTTTATGCAAAATATGGCAATACAGAAAGAAAAAGAAAGAAACTTTTACTCAGGCTTGTATATTTACTAGAAATTAAAAGAACAAATAGATATTCTCGTCTAATCAATATTTGATAGATTCTTCATTGAATATTTTGTCTTATTTACTGATTAAAATCAGTCATTGTCGTCAATGATCAAAACTAAATATGATGAGGCGCTTTTATTCTTAAGATACACAAGCTATTCTTTCACGCCTCGTTATCATGTGATAACAAGAGTTGACAGCTAATATCTTCGTAAGTTCCATCACAAATCAAACAATTTTTACGTTTTAATGAACATTTTTTTTTTCTTTACTTTTCCAAAGAAAATTAAATAAACTGAAAACTTTTAACGATCAAATAAAAAAAAAGCAAATATTTCTCATTAATAAGATTGATCATCAATTGTCTCCAATGTACATTGAAAATTTCTGATCGATTAGGTGATTTCGTTTTGTCGTGCCAAATGTGACTTATGTCTCGATCGCGCAATCACACCCCGCGAGAGTCGCTTTTTTTTGCCGATGGCATACATCGTTCATGTTTGACAAGTTCCTACAGTTCTCTTCAACAATGAACTGCAATATGGCATCAATATGATCAATGTCTCTAAGGAATTAACAATACACACATACACATATATATAAATACACAACACTCTCGTTTCGTCCGGATAGTGTCGCACGCAATGATTGCGATTTAATTTCCGATCAGCACTCATGAGATGACACATTCATCTTTTGCTCTCTAACCGATTTTTTTTTATAAACACAAGAAAAAAACTAGTATGTAATAAAAGAATGAAGATTCCTTCTTTCATAAAAAGAAAACATCTTTAGTCAGATAGATTATTTTTATATGTCAAATGTTTTGTGTCAGTTCATTTAGTTAAGAGAAAAAGATTGACTGGTTTGTTTGTTCAAACAATGTGTCTAATTGATCGTCATCTCCAGGTTTTTCTCGCCATTCTATATACACATATATATATATATATGTATGTATGTATCTGTACTCATATCGAGTATCCATCGCAGCATAAAGCGTCCGATGTTTGACCTATATCTTGGTCGTCCCATCACATCGGACATCTCGACAATATCAATCAGGGAGACGTTCTGCTGTTTGGCCATCGTCCCTTTCTTATTCTTCTGACCATCCCTATCTTTATCTATTGTTTTTGCCCTGGCAGATGATGAGCATTTACAGCACTGAAGAAAAAGAAAAAGAAATATGAAGACATCCGCAAGCAACCGAGAACAGATAGATAGCGACCGTCTTTCGTCTTCCTTTTCAAGAACAATTATTTGAAGATGCTATCGAAGGAGAAAGAAGAAGAGCAGGAGCAAAAGAGAGAGAGAGAGAGAACGTGAACAATCTGGCGGCGGGCGACCGATGCCCGAGCAACAAAAACAAAACACAAGAGAGGGAGAGAGAAGACGACTGTCACTGCTAATCACGCGTCGATGATGTACAACAACAACAGAACACCTTTTGCCTTTTTTTCTCTCTCGTTTGTCTCTCTTTCTCGTTCACATTTGCAGTAGTTGACCATAGGTCAATCAGAGACAAAGAGATAGAACAACATACTACAATAATTATTTCGTGAGCAAAAAAAATACAATAGAATGGTTGGTTATATGATAAAGAAAAATAAATCGACGGTAAGAAAAGGATAAAAAAAAATTTCTTTCATTATTATTTTCTCTTTTTTGATTCGTGCTTTTAATAGAAAAGGAGACATATGACACTTGTCCCATTGGGTGACAAGACCGACTAATGAGATTTATGTGCGACAAAATGACATATCGATTTAGATATATAAATATATATATAAGGAGAGGAAAAAAAAACGGTGGACTAGGTGATAAATCAAAATACCACCTTGTCATAAGGACGACATCGTCGAAAATGGTTTGTCGACATACTACTAACGCATATAGATGAAAAGTGACATTGATCGGAAGTTTTTATGGAAGAACGACGACGAACGACAAGCAAGAGCAGCTTTTCTTCTCTCGTCGCTAACACCATATATAAAGAGAAGCCCATCATGGCAATTTGTCATTTTTGACGTGCTTATCAATAAATTCATTTTTACGCCGAACAAGCACGTACATAGGCATATAAGACATCGACACAAAAAAAGGAAAAGAGGCAAAGAGAAGGCAAAAAAAAAGAAATCATGGTCCAAAAAAGAAAAGAACATGGTTGAGGGTCAGAACAAAATATTGAGCGTATACACAATGCATACAAGTGCGAGAATAAAAAGAAGAAGAAGACGAGCACCCTGTATAACTGTCTGTCTCATTAGAACCCTAGTGTCATCCGTGACCACCCGATGGTTTCTCTTTCTTTCTCTTTCTCACTGGTAGTTCATTATTTTCTCTCGTGTTGTTGTTCTAATCGCCGACACATGTTTTCGCATGTCGATGCTATAGACATGCATACAGACACAGATGAGGTCGTTGTGATCAATCACTATGGACACATTCTAATTTTACAAACGATGACATTGTTCTCTTATATGTGTGATGGGACAGACACCTGTGTGTATATGTATGTGTATGTATGCATCTAAAATATTTTCTTCTGTCTGTTTTCGATTAAGAAAAAGAGAATACAAAAAAGAAAAGTTGAATGACGAATGAGGCACAAGTGTAGCTTATCCTTCGACCGATAAGACCTGCTGTGTCTTCTTTTTTTTTTCTTCTTTTGTTCTTGTTGTTGCCTTTTACAACAATCAGTTTGCTTGTTTAAAATGACATCATTTGCTTTTTTGTCTCTTGCTAATTCGAAGTTAATGTTTTTGCTCATCAAACGAAAAATTGTATCTGTTCGATCGTATGTGTGTGTGCATCCATCTCAAATTTCTATCAAAAAAAGAGAAGCCCCTGATGTGATGAAAAGCACAATGTGTGTGTTTATGTCATCACCAGAAGCATCAGCAGCCGTACGAAAATTCCACTGATAAGCACGATGCTTGTATGCGCGAAAAAAAAAAGAAGAAGAGGAGGACGAAACACAAACGATCGAAGACGTGAGAGCAACAGAAAAAAGAGAGAGAAAGAGTCATAAAAGAAGTAGAAGAAAAAAAATGTGAGTGTCGAATATGTGCGCGACCAATCGAAATTGCTCAATGCTGCATTGTCATTCGTCGCCTTAATCGAAATAACACTCAAGAAAAAAAACGAGAGAGAGAGAGAGATAGAGAAAGAGAAAGAGAAAGATTGTCGTGCGTGCTTGTATGTTTGTGACTGTCACATTGGTTCGTCGCACGCACATATATTGAAAGAATGAAGGTAGTAGTAATAAAAAAGGCGTAAGACAAAAAGTTCGTTTGAAAAAACATATTCAAAAATTAATTGTGGTTTTTTTTTTCTTTCAATTTTATTCTTTAGACTGTATTAAAGTGTAACATTGCTGATTGTCAATGCGAACAGTTTTTTCCTGGTAATAGTTGTAGTTTATCAGTACGTTCATGTGACGAATGTAAACATAGTTTTGTCAATCACGGTAAGTTGTTTTTCAAAAGACTAAGAAACTTGATTATTAAGTTTTCTTTTTTTGTTTAAGTTATTAATTTAAATGAATTAGATACTGATGAAATTATAAAACATTTAACTGCTGAACATATTTATGAATTATGTACGCTTTGTTTATATGGTACAACGGTTATAACACCACGTATTAAAATTTTACTTGATCGTATATTAGATACATTAACTCAAGCTGAACAAGATAATATATTAAAATCATTAAAATGGTCTATTGATGATTATGAAAAATCTTATATAGAACATGTATGTATGATTTTAATTATTTAAAAATTAGAAAAATTTTTTATGTTTAATCCAGACACGTTGTACCAGAATGAACACCAGCTTTCTTTTTTTTTGTTTCTATATTGACCGAAAGAAATCAATCTTCTTTTTCTCTTCTCTTGTGTGCTTGACTAATGTGAACTCAATTACGAAGAGATGAAATATGATACTTAGGGTTTTTTTCTCCTTTGTCCATTTGACGAACAATATCTCGATCGAGAAAAATTATTTGTCAATGAACCGGATAATTTCCCTTTTTTTTTCCTAGACCTTCGTATCTATGTGGCCACATATGAATATTGACACCGTTGAACTTGTGATCATCGGAAGTAGTGAAAAAAAATCTCATCAGAATGATGGTTTGATTTTTTTCTTTTTTTTTTTTTTTTGTATTTCTGGGATTTGTCATTTTTGAAATCGCACCGTCCTTTATGAGATAAACCAGAATGCGATAAGTGCAATCATGAAGGAAGCTCCCGACATTCGAATGTCATGCAATCGATTGATCTATGTATTTCATCGTATTTATTATATACTTGTCGATGAGCTGTTCTATTTGGCTACCGACACCTTCAATAGAATAACGTCGAAGTTTGATCACAAATGTGTCAAGTGTCGACTATGTAACTTCTATATTATTGTTATTATTACTCTTTTCTTGTTTTTTTTCTTCCTTTCTCTTTATTGGAATTATCATACTGATGTTAATTGTTTCTTATAGAATTTCAATAATTCATCATCAAATTTCAATTTAATAATGCCATCATCCGATGAAGAAGATCAATATTTATTACCCCAATTTCTTCGTTTTGAATCAACACGTTTACTTGCACAATATTTTCTTCAAGTAGCACAACAACAACAACGTATATCTCCACATTGTCCATCATCAAATGGTCGTTCACCATCACCATCAGCAACTGAATCTAAACCAGCAAATATTTCATCAACAGCCCTATCCTTAATACCACCACTACCGCCTCCACCACCATCAATATTACCATCAGCAACTGCAACTGCTAATATGTTACTTCGTCCACCAGGACCATTTCCATTTCCATCACCATGGCCATCAACGGATATTCAAATGATGAATTTTCTTATGGCACAATTATCAAATCCATTAATGATGAACTATGATTTTCGTCGTATTGGAAATAATCTTTTACCAACAGCAGCTGCTGCAGCTGCCGCTGCTGCTGCGGCTGCGGCTGCAACAACAACATCAACAACAACCCATCTTCCATCAGTAACGATTCCAACAATAAGAGAAGAAACAAATGGTAAACATTATGATATACCTGAAATAAATAATAATGAAATTGAAAGAAAAAATTCTTCAACAAAACGTAAACGTCTTTGTTCACCATTAAATCTTTCAACAACATCACGTTCACCAACAGAATTACCAGCATCAAATGAATCCATTGCACGTATATCTGATAGTTCATTATCATCAAAAAGTAGTTTAACAAATAATAATAATAATAACAATGCAAACAATTCATCGACATCAACAACAACAACAGCAGCAGCAACACGCAAACGTCTTTCATTAAGTGAACAACGTGTTTTAATAAGTCCACATGGAAAGAAACGTGTTCAATGTAATGTATGTATGAAAACATTTTGTGACAAAGGTGCACTTAAAATACATTTTTCGGCTGTACATTTACGTGAAATGCATCGTTGTACAACACCTGGTTGTACAATGATGTTTTCATCACGTCGTTCAAGAAATCGTCATTCAGCTAATCCAAATCCAAAATTACATTTACCAAGACCAAATGCAATGTCTCATCGTTATCATACAACGGGTCCAATTATATCTGATGGTAAACATCAATCACAAGTCAATTTATATTTAGATGATGATGATGATGATAATATATCATCAAATATTTCTTCATCAATTGATGATCAACACGACGATGATCGAGCAGACGAAGAACTTGTATCATAAAAAGAAAGAAAAACTAAAACTCTAATTAAATAAAACTATTCTTTCCATTTACATTTCCAAGTTCTCTCTTTTCTTTTTTTTTTTGCTTGTATTGTTGTCTCTCTCTTTTTTTTCTTCTTCTTTACTTATAAATATATATAAATATATACGCATTGAAAAAAAAAAATTTGCAATCTGTACTCTTCGAATTTTTCCCATATCAATGATGATAGTTGACAACAATAAACGATGGATATGTACGTCAAGTTTTATTTGTATACATAGAAGAGAGAGAGATTAATTGAAGTATGTTTGTCAACGCTTACGGGGTAAGACAACCTGACGTTTGTATTCCCATCGCACTGACCCTTGTCCAATACTAATGACTTGTTTTTTGTGCCATCTTTTGTGTTATCTACCGATTATTCATCAAACAAATGAGCAAACATACATGTTGTCTATTCTAATGACAATCAGCTTGACCTTAAAGATTGATTGGTTAGTAGGTATTTCTTTTCTGTTTCGTCACTCTATATATATATATATATATATGAAAGTCGATCTCTGTTGATATCATTGTGCCGTGTGATTTTTAATGAATTTGATTGACTCGCGCGTGTGTGCATGTGTGCGATCGAGTGACGTCGGTCGTTTTATGATTGTGTCTATAAGTTGTACACCTCTTTTTTCTCTCTCTTTCTCGTTATTAGTTATGGCAAGGATGCGAAACAACTGAATATAGGGGGCATGTGTCGTGATTCGTTTCGAATACTTCATATAAACTATTCATGCCATCGATTTGTTATATAACAATAAAAAAAAAGAAAAGAAAAAAAAAACGCTCAGTATTGTATTATCTATTTTTTTTTAATTGAAAGTTCAAAATGAAATGTCAAGAATTCATTTAGGTTTTATTCTTACTGATTTAATAAAAAACAACGCATCATTTTCTTTTTGTTCAATTATTTTTGAAAAACATTTTACTATAAATATTGTGTAGTAGGAGATGAGCAGAAGATCAACTCGTCAATGTTCAAAAATTTTCGATTTTTTGCTTCCAATTCTCAAGTCTTAGAAAGTAAGAAAAGTTCTTACTAGTAATTACTTTTGAGTCGAAAAAAATTGACGCCTGTGCTCTCTTATGAGTGTCCTAAGGATATGAGATCAGTACACCAAAACTTGGACATTTTCAGTCTTACAAAGGTACTCTGCGAACTGATACTTGTTGTTTTATGATTATGTGCAGTCTACAAAGGATTCTCGGTGAGAAGAAAAACATTCTAGAAGATTTTGTGCTCATAGAAATATCATTATTTGATTTGTCAGTAGCTCGAGCAAAAGTTCAGTAAAACGGTCATAATGCGGCTGCAGAGTCCTATGGGTACGAATCCATTTAGGATTTTTTTTAGTCTTATTGTGACTTCCTTGTGAATTCAATATGAGTTCAAAATAGTGAGTATCAATTTGTTGTTAAAAACTGAAGTTTTGATCTTTGCTGTAGGTTCATACAGTCTATCAAAACCATAAGAAAATGATGGCATTTATAACTATGATTCGAACTTCTGAAGAGAGAAGATCTATATGTGGTAATCAATAGCTCTCAAAACATGAAAGAAAACGGCTGATATACTTCCAGTCAATTTTGTGTGTGTCATGAGTAGTATTATGATATTAAAAATTCTGAACTAAACCTTAGACTTTCTAGTGTTGTTAAAAGATGTATTATGTTTAGAACAGGATCGCTTCCACGTAAAATATCAAAAAACAAACGGCTAATGTTCCTAGATTTTGATGATCAAAAAATTGGTTTTTATTGGACATAAACATGATTTTCGGAAGTTGCAGGTTAAAAACACATGGAGAACTCTACATTTCATTACAAAATCACTAATTGTAAATAGTTCAAACCTAGAAATAATAATTTTTTTACTAACACTGAAAAAGGCCACTGTTTGTTTATGTTATTTGACATGACCACACTACTCATAACCAAAAGGGCTAGTTGGGCAGGCGAGGGAGGGGAGGGGAGAGGCGAATACAACTGATGAAAAAGGTGCTACTTTCTTTAATATAACCATATGTCTACTAGTATAATTGTTGTAGGAAAACAAATACATTATGAAAGAAAAATTTATCAATAATTTGAACAGAATTTCAGTAGCTATTGAAAAATTTCATCTAAAACCTAGAATTGATTCTAAGGAAAAATAATTCAATTGATGAAATAACAAAATTAAGTCTTTATGTATACACTATGAAATATTGCTATTGTACGAATATTTTAATAATAATAAAAATTTACAAATAATTCAAAAAGTGATTCATATGTGCATCTGAAAGCATTGTTTGAAACTGTCATAGTATTATACTCTTTCTTTATCGAACTTTTATATAAGATCGAAATGGATTTCATATTCAATAGGTTTCTTCTCAATTTTCACTTATTGTGATGGGTTCAAAATAAAAATGCTTCTACTGTTTAGAGATTTTTCAGGTTTATCTATTTCAAAACAACTTTACTCGAAAACTAGATCTTCTAAATGTACCAATTACATTTAATAAGGGGTTAAGTTTTTGTTTTTATCACTTTCTATATTTTTCCTTATTGTCATGTAGATCTTGATACAAAGAAGACACTAGCATCTGCGCTCGTTTTTTGGCTGATTATGAGCTAACCTTGTAGTATCAATTAATGAAAATTCTATGTTGAAAATTTAAGCCTTCATCTTCTTTTATTGAAAAAAGTTTAAGAAAAAGTGAAAAAATATCATTTTCTTACACCCACACGGTAATGAGATCTCGTTCTCGACACGCCATAAACACGAACTTTATTAAGATTTTCTTAGCCTCACTGACAGCCAAAAGATGGAGTCGAACGTCTTCCGACAGTAACCTAAAATAACTTGCTCAATGGTTAATTCATGATTACTTATTATATTAAAATATCATTTTCTTTAAATGCTGAAGTTGTATGCCACATTCAAGTCTGATATCTACTGTTAATTATTGAATATTATATCATTATATTGTGCATAACTATTTGAGATACAAGATCTGATAAGTTACATTCTCATGATAGGATTGGAAAAGTTTAAAAATTTTATGTCAGCTTGTCGAAAAAAATTTAGGTCTTTAAAAGCTTACACATTCTTCATAGTTTTTTTGAATGAAATTTTGTGTAGTAGAAATAAAAGGATAGATTTAACAATAAAAATCCTATTTTTCGCGTTTTTTTTTTCAAATAGAAATTGTCGAAATTGAAAGGACATAGTTATTTTGTTTTGAAACAAGGATTTTTTAAGTCTAAATAAATAACTGTATTTTAGAATGACAGATCGATAAATATCGACCTTAGTTCAAAAGTTTTGACACAAAATAATGATTGATTTTGTGATCATCTAAACATTATTTGTGAGAATCAAAAGTAGTTAACTGGAATCCAAACTTTGTACTCTATTCAAATACGTAATCAAAATAATACTTTAACTGAGAATTGATTATAAATGAACTAAAGATTTGACAGTGTCAAAAAGCATGACATGAAAGACATTTGAATCAGCAAGTTTTCTATCTTGAAGCACAGACATGCTTCAAATTGAAATTTCGTTGTCCAACATTTCTTTATATATCTTGTGTCAAATGAAAACAATCAATAAAATAATCATAATCATGGAAGTAAGCTTCACAAGCTCAAACTCTTTTAGGATTTTTCTTAAAACACTTTGAATACGATATCACGTATGTAGTGTGCATAGATGTATTATTTAATATAAAAATCTCGTCAATTGTAACTTTATTCGTGAATATTTTTTGTTCTAAACCCATGCCTGCATCGATGCTTGAATTTGCAAACATATTTTAGAAAACAAATGTAATTGTACATTAGTCAAGTTTTTCTCTCATTTGTAATCGATACTTATGCGAAAAACTAAAATGTGTATCTTCAACATAACCAATACAACAAAAGAGGAATAGACTAAGTTTAATGAAAAAATAAACACAAACCAGTTCTATCTCAGACTAATGTTCTAATAAATTCGTTAGCGTGTAATGACTTTTGATTCGAATCAGTTCCCAAAAAAAAAAAAACCTAAATCAATCCTATTCAATGTAGTTTTGCAATTCACTGCCATTAACATTGAAAGTTTGGCATCAGTGTATGTCTCTCTAAGGAATAACGCATTCATGCTTTTCTTTTTAATATTTCTCATCCTGATGCACTTGACATCTGTTATAATTGACCGTAAAATTTTTCAATCATCTTGGTTATTTTGAAATGTATTAATATATCATTAATATAGGAATGATCCATATAGGACATTCAGATAAAAATCACATTTTTTCTTTAACTCTTTCCCTTCTCCTGAACTTCCAGTTTCAAAGACAACTTTCTAGAGACAGTCTGCTCGTTCAAATATACTTCTTCCTTTTTATTAACTAATAGTTCATTAAATAAATATATAAAGAATTGAAGTGAAAACAAAACAAATATTTCATAAGTAGCAAACAAAAGTATTATTTATTGTATGCTTTTTGTTTCTTTAAATGCATTGTATTTTTATGAGCAAGAGTTTACGAAAAAATAGATGTATCCCGTGTTTCTTTCATGCTTTTCAAGCTCCTATGATTCTTTATTTTTCTCCTTTTAGTTCCTTCTGATCTTTTTAGGTCTCTCAGTTTCTTTAGTTCTTATAGTCTCTTTAGTCTTTTTGGCTGTGTTGAATGTGGATGTGTATAGATGAGCACCCAGATCTATGGATACGGCTATCCGTATTTTCACCGTAAATTTGCTTCATACGACTCCGTAAACGGACCGTATTTTCTCGTAATCATGGGCACAGTAATACGGCACCGTATACGAGGCCGTATTTTCACAGTACACGGGGCGTAATCTCATTATGATAAGGCCGTATTTCTGTGCCCGATATTACGGCCGTATACGGTCCGTTTATGAGTCGTAAGGTAACCGTAAACGACCGTTTACGGACCATATCGTTCGACCTGGGCATGTTTCGTTCACCTACACGCAAAGCGATGAAAGGGACTAAGACGACTAATATATTCTTACAACTTTGAAAGGTATGCAAGTATAAAGGTAAAAAGAAATAAATTTAATTTTTTATAAACCTATGGAAAAAAGAGAAAAATATTCATATTAAGTGTTTGAACGTTCAAAACTATTTGACCATTTCTTATCTTCTGTTCAGAATGATCTAGTTTTGTTGCATCCTTCCTTTAGTTGAATGCTCTTTATGGATAGTCGTATATAAATATTCATGCATTAAAATTGATATATTTCGAAATAAAATAAACCATAGAGCCATTATTATTGAAATATATTATGATGTACAAATCAAATTATGCTTATTAGATGATTTTTTTTCAACAGAAGTTTCTTTCTACGAGTCTTGGTGTGCATTGATTGTATGTGAAATTCATTTTACAATTCATATGAGAATAAAGATATACTAACGGAATTTATGCTAATTACGGCTATAATCTGCATGTCTTTAAACAGTTTATTCCAAAAAAATACAGTGCGGATAAATGTTTCCAAGCGAAAATAAATATGATATTAAATCTAATTTAGAATACATATGTTTCTTCAAAATCAAAATGCGACCAAATAGTTGTATTCGAAGGAGAAGTGCATGTATTCATACTTTTCAACTTGCACACAAAAAAAAAATTTTGCATTCAAAATTTATTTTAAAAACCATCATATATATGATTTAAAACTTGAATGCTTTAAACAAAATTAATTTCATCTGAAAAAAATTTCTTGTTGTGATCAATATCGTACGAATTCGAACTTTTACTAAATCGACTTAAAATTGAATTAAGACCATAGGGATCGAAATCTTCTCTGCGTACAATATTTGGCTTAACAGCAATTGTTGATGGATCATTGTTTAAAGAAGATAGATATGCATTTGGAAAACTATCGCTGATTGTTATTGCTAAAAGGGCAATGATAACAAGGATACGTACTAAAAAATACGAAATATTAAATAAAAACGAACATTAAATATTCATTTAATCAAACCTAATGACATTATTAATTTGTCAACTGGCTAGTACTTAATTTGTGTATTGTAGTCTAATGGAATTTTCTTTTTCTTTGATTCTTATGAAATACGTGATATTTTATAATGAAAACTTTTTCGGTAATGCGTAGGTAAAAACAATTTTCTATAAGTAGCTCTCGATTTAGTTCGCTACAATTTTAAGAAAAGATTAAGAAAAGAACCATTCTGATAAAGTAACTTTAGATTTCTTTTTTATCAAGAAGAGATGTCTTCTTATTCTACTTGATTAAACTAAAATCATCCTTTTTAATTGTGTTATAAACAGTTTTCTTTTATATTTCTTTATCATTAGCTTTTCAGATTATGGTAAAAACTTCATGCATGACATGCAATTGATATGTTAATTATCTAATAGAGATTTTCTAATGAATGCCTAATATTTCAAATGAATACATTCTATTCCTTTTGAAGAACATTATAATTTAGAAAGAAAAATGCATTTTGAAAAGCAAAATTGTCAAGAAAATCCGATGGTTACCAGATCAACTTTTTGTACTTCAAGAGTTAATTTTTTTTTAGTAACAACATTAGGACTCCAGCAAGATAACAAAGATTTCTAAATGATTATTTGTAAGATCGTATGAATGATTGCCGAAGCAAGTCAGACGGTGTGTTCGCATAGTTGGGATTCTTCGAATCATTTTCATACAAAAATAAAAAATTCATGAACAAATAGCTTCTATTGAAACAATATAAGGAGTAGTAGAAGATAAAATTCTGAAATTCATGTCTACATCTCAATAGATATTTGTCATAGTGAATGGTTTAAGTCTTATTTTTTGACATTTTTGGTCCTCGAGCTTTCTTCTTTTATAAAAGAAAATATAATCTTCTAAGGACATATTTTAATCTGAAAATCATTTCAATGAAAGTAATAAATAATATTTTTTATTAGACAGCTTGAGCTAAGCACTTAAATTGTACTTTAACAATCGAGGATGGCATATCACAACGACTTTTTAGAATGCCTCATTTGAATTTTTTTTTCTAAAAATTTACGAGAAGCTTTGTCTAAAAGACAGTGAGGATGCTCGTTGCTGAAATTTAGACATGTGCATTTTAGTGGTCTTCTAAGATGATATCTGCACTATTAAAAACGTTTTAATTTCGTGTGTATTGATACTAGTATCCATTTTTGGAAATAAGACAGTCCGAGAGAATGCCTACAACTTTTGAAGGAAGCGTGATAGGGACCTGCGATTTTCATCGTTTTGTAGAGCACATCAGGGCACATAGTAGTACCAAATATCAGACCTACAGATAAAGTTTAACATAGTATATATTTCTCTGCAATATTTACGACGCTCTAGTTCCCTAATAATACGACGAGTTTTGATTTTCAAATAGTGAGATTGATAGTCCAGATCAAGATCTAATATTCATTTTTTGAGATAAGACGTTTCTAAGGAATGTCTATAACTTTTGAACCGTATGAGATGGAGATCTGGGGTTGCTCCAGAATTGTAGATCTCGATCTGGGCTATTGATCTCACTGTTTGGAAATCAAATCTCGTCGTACTATTAGGGAACTAGAGCGTCATGAATATTGTAGAGAAATATATGCTATGTTAAACTTTATCTGTAGATCTGATATTTGGTACTACTATGTGCCGTGCTGTGCTCTACGGAACGATGAAAACCGCAGGTCTCTATCACATTTTCTTCAAAAGTTATAGGCATTCTCTCGGTTTGCCTTATTTTCAAAAATGAATACTAATTGTACATAGTAATTAAGGAGCTTCTTCCGGTATTAAATCGTTTTTCGACCGAGACTAGGTTCGTTTGATGAATGCTAGAAAGTAATAGAAGGACTAGAATGGTGTGGTTTTCCAACCTTTTGTTCTCGAAATATCGAAATTTTACTAGATTTTTCAACAGAAAAGCTACGGTTAGATGAAGAATCGACTTTCGACTTCAAACTTTATATGAATAAAGTTCTCAATGAAATTAGTTGAGAGGGTAAGTTACAGCTTTTCTAACATCTCCTATCATAAGAGTATTAAATATTCAAAATTCTCCTGTATGTAACAGCAAATTTTGTTCATATAATTACATCTCAAAATAGGAAATATTAGTTGTACAATCAATTTATCTCACAGAGAACTTTCTTGATAGAAAATTCGAAGATGAAACTCGAAAGTCAGCTTTTCTATTAGTGACTAGTACTGATCAAATGAATATCATCTCGATCAAATAATGATTGGACACCTGTAAACTCTCTTGTGTATTCTATTACAATTTAGAATGTGATTGTAAAAATATTTCGAACAGTTAGAACATTTACTGTAATAATCTTTCAATAGTAACATGAACATCGTTGACATTTCTGCCAATACGGTAGAATGTCTACAGTATGACTGGTTTATTAAAGTATCATTATCATTTGCCATTTCTTCATCAAATTCTGATGACAAGATTTGTTTTACAATAGTAGATAATTCGAATTTAGGCTTGAACAAAATTATATTGTCTTCTATGTTTATAGATATATACATATGATTCAATCAAATCATGAGAATTGTTGAAGAGCTATGTGAAATTTTTATTCTAATGAACTTTTCGCGTACCAATTTCAAAAATTCGAAAAAGATTACTTGAAAGCATATCAAATACACTGTCTAACTGATTTTCTTTTACTAGACAGAATTTCTATTAAACATTTTGTAGTCAAAACTTGATATAAGTTTCCAAAATATTCTTTATCAAAATTTAAATAGTGAAAAGTCTAAATAAATGTGTTAGAACAAAAAAAAACTCACGATTTGGTTTTTTTTTATTGTTACAGAGTGTCATCTATCGTTCTACTACATATATTGTTCATTGGTTTTCTCCAATAAAACATAGATCGTCAATACGCATGTATAAAGTAGATTTTTATAATACATTATCTATCAAAAATCAAAAATTTCATCATGGCATCAAAGCGACCAGAACATCAAGGTCCACCGGACATTGTACGTTAATATACATAAATATATTCATTTTTGATAATAAAAATTTTTTTTCTCGATGATTACTTTTTTTAGTTTTATAACGAAGAAGAAGCTCGAAAATATTCTCAAAAGTATATTATGAATATAAATATTAATTTCAAAAAAAAAAACACATTCATATTTTAGTACACATATTATTGATGTACAAACAAAATTATCTGAACGTGCTATTGAATTACTAAATTTACCTGATGAAGAATCATGTTTAGTACTTGATATTGGGTAAGAAGAAAAGAAATATTTCTAGATATTTGATTATTTTCTTATTCAGATGTGGTTCTGGTTTAAGTGGAGAAGTACTAACAGAGTTAGGTCATCAATGGGTTGGACTTGATATATCACAAGCAATGTTAGGTTTGTTTTTTAAACTAACAAGACAATATTCCACTAGTCGAATGTCATTTTATAGATACGAGTAAGTCTTGATAGTATTAAGAAAAGCTCAAAAATATTCGAATCCATAATTATTAATCATAAATAAACACAATAATTGAGTCTACTTAGAAATTGAATATTCAAGAAAGATATGTTCAATAAAATAACGTTCGACAGTTTGGATATGTTTTTTGCTTAAGTTTCATATTAAGATTTACTGTTAACTTTTAGATGTAGCACAAGAACGAGAAGTTGAAGGTGATCTTATATTAGGTGATATTGGTTATGGAATGCCATTTCGTGCTGGTTCATTCGATGGTGCTATAAGGTAATGAAATATGTATTAGATTAATCGAAAAACAAAACTAATAAATATTATTATTATTATTATTTAGTATTTCAGCATTACAGTGGTTATGTCAAGCTGATAAAAATTATCATAATCCAGTAAAACGACTCTATAAATTTTTTTCAACACTTTATAGTTGTTTGGTAAAACCAAAAAAAGAAAAAAGTGAAGATTTTCTTTTTTGATTGATGATTTATTTTTAGACTCGCGGTGCTCGAGCTGTACTACAATTTTATCCAGAAACACCAAATCAAGTAAAGCATGAATTAATTTAAAAAAAAGTTTTTTATTAATCTTTTCTTATTTTCAGGTTGATATGATCACACAACAAGCAATGAAAGCTGGTTTTACTGGTGGTCTTGTTGTGGATTATCCACATAGTACACGAGCAAAGAAGTAAATATATTAGTGAACAAAATTTTTCATATTTCTCTGTATCTTGACTACCATAGTGGTAGAGGCGAAATTTATGTGCACCTATTTCAATGAGAATGACGGTGTGACACACGAGTGTTTAAATAGAATGAGAATTATGAAGGATGGTAACTGTTTATCCTTTTAACTTAACAATTCTGGAAAAAAAAGAACTTTGTCAGTCGACCTATTCTTCATTACACTCGGCTAGGAAGAAATAAAATGCTGACCTTTAAAATCATAACTCATGTATAGTTCAACGATCGAGCTGAAATTCATACATAAGCTTTATCTGGAATTAAATATTATTACAGACATGTTTCAAATAAAAATACTAGTCGAATAGTCATTGTGTTGGTAGAAAGACAACAATCATCAATTAAATTACTTGACTAAAAACAAAAAGAGCATAGACTAAACTCTATTTGCATACTAACGTATCAAAAATTAGTCATGTACTTGATAATAGATAACAAAAAATAGAACAGACAATCTTTTTTCAATACTCTTCATCATGATTCTCGTTGTATTGAAACACTTGGATTGACCTTCATCAGCATGTATACTAACCAAGATACGAGAGTGGAAGAGAGTTTTGTTTACTATTGTAACTATGAATTATTATTTCTTTTTTTATTTTTGTAAAGAATGTTTTTGTGTTTGTTTGCTGGTGGTCAAATTCAACAATTACCTCAAGGTTTAACAGGAGAAGAAGGTAACGAAGAAATTCCTACTCAAGCACGATTTGATAAAGAACGGTAAGAGAAAAAAAACCAAGTATATGAATACAAATACAAATATATATATATATATTTAATACTATAGACAACGTTATA